ACCCAGCCTGTACTTGTGCTTGGATCTGTGGGATCCAAGGGGAATTAGGGATTAGGGGAAATGAATCCCACTTCCTGTCCGCAGGTCAGCTTGGTTCACAGCCATCGTGGTCAGGGCACTGTCAGAAGCTCACGCTGTAACTGTGAACTTGCAACATGGATGTGTTAGCTAGGAGAAAAACAGCTCGGTTTGGGGAAGGCAGGAAGCAGCTGTGGGGTGATTCTGTGACATCACTAGGTCACAACAGACTACAGCCAACAACTCACATACAAAAGGGTCTGCAAGCCCTTTACCTCGCACATCTTGAATACTGTGAATAGAAACTGAGGTATCAGCTAACTTACCAAAATGAATAGAATGCATCTACCTCTTCAAATGATGAGTTCATGTCCCCAAGTTTAGGAACATTTTTCTTATTTGACCACCTGAAAATAAATGGATACATTCAAGAAATAATATATATAATCTTAATTCATAACATGGCATGTGCTAAGTACAGAATCAAAATACCAAATCAGAGGCTCCCTTCCACCAAAACAGAGGGGCACCAGGAAAGAGGAAGAGAACAGGAGAGTTCCTTCTACACTCCTCCAGACTGGGCCTTTTTTGGGGATCTCCCCCAGAAAAGCAAACTCCTCCTGCCCAAGTTTGGTGTGCCTACAAGGAGACCTGATGGAGCACACGCTGTCTTTGTAGATGGTCGATTCTGCACACAATTCTCCTGGTAGAGAACCTTACAGGAAATGGACAACAGGTGCTCTGTGAATAACTCAGCTCTGTGGTAGGCTACAGCAAGTTTCTCCCATATTCCAAGGGAGTATGAGGGAATAATGGATGCTCTGCCTCCATTCCGTTTTTTACCTACAGAGAAGGAAATATTCCCGAAGCTCTAGAATTTGTTATTCCATGACATAGCATCCATCTCCAAGCAGAGAAGGGAACAACCCCTCTAACAACCACAGATCCAGGTCTGAATCTCTGGATTACTTGATAAAAGATTCAATAAATCTACTTTAAAGAATCAGTGGATTGTTAGAATATGCTGTAAAGTGCCTCACGCAGTAAAACACTTCCTTTCACACAGGTAAAAGGTGAAATAGACTTGTATTGTGACAGCCTTAATACAAAGTTTATTGGCAAGTGTGAATCAAATGCAGGAAAAAAAAGTCACACGCCTTAAAGAGAACCACCAAATATTGTTAATTTTATCTTCTCTTTTAACCAGCTAAATAGTGAACATAACTACTATCTTCTGTTAATGTCTCACCCTCGTAAGAAAATCATAAAAATGGAATTTTAAGTCAGTAGCACATACACACTTGGTATAGTAAATAATACTAAGGTGAAACAATGTGTTACACAAAAAGGACAGTAAGTAATATGGAGCTAAGAACAGACTTTTTAAATCTCACGGGTCCAACTCAGTATCACCAGTGTCAGTTCAGATTATTTTAAAATGAACTAACAGAGAATGCACAGACAATTTTACTTCTATTATATTTTAGTGAACAAATGCATCCTCCAGCATCTCTTCAAACAACATCTGTTACAGTGCCAGGAGTTTGCTGATCCTCCAGCAACAGCAAAGGCACTCTGACACAGCTTACCTGGCGTTTCTTTCAAAAACCGGTGAAAAAACTTCAAAGAAGTTTTCTTTTGCTTCACTTTTGGAAGGTACAGAGTTATCAAAAGTAGGGTCTATGCTGTTAAATGCTCGTCGTTTTACAGGGTCAGATAATATTTCATAAGCTGAAAAAAATAAGGTACCAGACATAAATCATGAGACTAAAGTGAGTCTTCCCCACAAGGTGGGAGTATTACAAAAAAGGTTCTAAATGTTTAAAAAGATGCTCTCAGATCTGTGTTGAGCCCAGCATTCTGTACAGCTTGATACTTAATTACTGCAGCAACACCAAACAGCATTGCTGTCAATGCCTGGTAAACTACTTAGGAGGAAAATGTTTATGAAAAACACCACATTTAACCATTATGATGTAACAAAACAGATTATATTTTAAGTACATTTATAGCAGTAAATTTGGTTCAGGCACTGGGAGTTTGAGCACGGCATCTTCAAGATTTTATCCTGCCCCAGATCCTTGCAGATGAATTGACAAACACCAGCCTACCAAGACAGGCACAGAGTAAAAACAGTCCCGGAGTTAATATGATGTCTGAACTGGCAAGAACAGGAGCCACTCACTAGAATTTTTGCAGCCCATGATGAAGTTGTACTGAGACTTGGAAAGAGTATAAACCACCACGTAACTAATAGCCAAAACACGCACGTGCTCCCAGTTTTCCTGTTCTTACAGTCCTGCAACTGGGGAGCATCACATTACTGACTCTTTTACCCTGGAAATCACACACGCTGTAGCTTCAGTAAACTCCTGTCTCCTCTCAAGGAAGTGTGGGATTACTCAGTCTGTCAGTTCTACAGTCCCCACTATTTTTCAGCAAGAGTGAAAAGACATCAAAGGAAGCAAATTTGTGTTGTGATCATTCACGGGCTTCCTGCCTGCATCCCTGGGCAGAGCACACTGCGCCCTCAAGGTCAATGTAGGAGACCTTGGTGCTCCGTGATCCTGTAAACTGATCTCACTGCCCCTGTAAGTGGAGAAAGGAAGGACCGCTAATGAACTGCTGTCTGCCAGTCTTCCCTTTCCCTCTTGGAAGGGACTTCCCCCTCCCAATACTCTAAATGACCCCAGTTACTCTCTACATCGCAAGCTTCGGTAACCCTCATACCATTTTCTGATGCAAGCGATTCCGTGCACATCTGTTGGTTCCTCTTCCGCTTGAGATGTCCCTTCCATACAGATCCCCAATCCTACTCCCACACTGTTTCCCTGGCACTGTATCTCCCACTCATTCCTTTGCCAGACCCAGCTTTGAATCCCACCTACTTACTCCTGCCTTTCCGAGTTTCTTCTCTCCATTCCGTTACCACTTGCTCCTACTACAGATTCCCCTTTCCCTGCTATTGCATTTCCTTCCTCCACAGTGCGGCCCAGAAGCATTTCTCCTCTTCCCTGCCACTTTGTGCTTTGCTTTCTGTTTATCCTTAAACTTAGACAGTAAGCAGTTAAGGGTAAACTTATTTTGTTCCTGGTATGTAGAATGCACAGCATATTCCTGAATTCAGATGCAGGTTGTTCTTATTATAAAACATACAATGGTTTGGGTTGGAAGGGACGTTAAAGCCCATCCAGTTCCAACCCCCCTGCCATGGACAGGGACACCTTCCACTAGACCAGGTTGCTCAAAGCCTCATCCAGCCTGGCCTTGAAGACAGCCAGGGATGGGGCATCCACAACATCTCTGGGCAACCAGTTCCAGTGCTTCACCACCCTCTCCGGGAAGAATTTCTTCCTGATATCTAACCTAAACCTCCCCACTTGCAATTTAAACCCGTTACCCCTTGTCCTGTCTCTACAGGCCCTTGTAAAAAGTCCCCTCCCAGCCTCCTTGTAGCCCCTTCAGGTACTGGTGAAGGTGCTATAAGGTCTCCCTGGAGCCTTCTCTTCTCCAGGCTGAACAAGCCCAACTCTCTCAGCCTGTCCCCGAAGGAGAGGTGACAGTTTCCAACAGGACTGTGACCGTGGAAAAAAAAAAATTCTTTGGCAACTTTCTTCCTTCCAATAACTCCGAGGGAGAATGAAGATATCATTAGCTTGTCTGACACATCATTTAACATTTTAACTAGTATTGTAAGAAGTCACCCAGAAGAAGAAAGTTGAGAACACACAAATTCCAAGATTTTCCCCCCGCCCTGACCTTACTGAGTCAAAAAAATTGTTTAACATAAACAAAAAAGCCAAATTCCAAAGCATTTCTAGAGGCACAAGGCATATCCCTAGAGCACTCCCTATGCTTTTGGAATCAGCCAGCAGCAGTGCTCTAGGTCACTACAGGCAAGAAAGCAAACGTCACTCAACTGAGTTCACTCTCTCATCTGTGGGCAAAAAGGCAGCTTCAGGCAGCTGAAGAAACTGATATCCTACATCAAACCAACAGATGCCCTGTTGGCAGGGTAAGCCCATCAGATTTTGGATTTTCCAACTGCTGTTGGTATCCTAGGGGAATTACTTCCGAGCACGTTGGGTTATCCCAGGTATGTGGCTACCTCTAGTGGGTCATCTTCGCCTTCGCTGCTACAAGCGTTTTGTCACCGAGTGCCACCGCACACGTTTATCAGCTGCATTCCCATGCTGCCTCCACCCAGAGGGACGGGATACTGCTGTAATCTCTGTTTATTGAGGCAGTTTTCTAAAGTGGAAAAGAACTTCTCTGGTTGTTTTAGTAACGGACAATTCTTTCAAAGCCTAACAGAGCGCTACACGCACATTTCAGATAATCGAGTAGACCGAGAGAGGATCTATGACAGGAGATTAATTGCTTACCTTTAGTTATGCATGTAAAGTAATCATTATCACCTTCTCCTATCTGTTCCCCTGCAGCTTTTCGCTTGTCTGGATGATGTTTCAAAACCATGGATTTATCTAGCAAACAGATGCATTAGGTTTAGAAATGCTTCATCATCAACAGTTTATTTTATCACCAACTACAGAGTAATTCAATAATTCCAACTGACATTTCTCTAAAGAGATCCTTAACAAAATAATAACAAAACCAACCCCCAAGAAAAAGATATGAGTTAATGAACTTTCTTTGAATTAACACTATCGTCAGAATTCAAATGACTTTGTCTTTGCTGGGACACAGTAACTGCAACTCAGAAACTCTATTCCCCCTTCAACAGCTGAAGAAGTACTGGTTTTTGGGGACTTTAACAGCATGCACAGCAAAGCACTTCAGTAACTCTATGCGTACTGTTTCAGGACCTAAATTGTGGAAGATTGTACAACGCCCTGTGCAACCATATTGGAAAGATAAAGAAAAATAGTTAACGTAATTTTAGTTGTTATAATGAAAAGCAAAGTAGCTCAGGTACAATAAGAATTGTATTCTATCCCTTTACTCAAGATCTGAACACAATCCAGATGAAATTTAGCAAGGAAACGACAGTTGTGACCCGGGAAGACTGCTGCGCTTACCCATGGATAACAGGAAGCACACACACTGCGGTCAACTCCCCTCTCTACTTACGCCTTAAAGCCCAAGATTTAATTAACACACAGAGAGCATCTACTGAAGTTGCCACCAAGGTTGTCTTAGTGTTTAAGCAGTAAAACCAGATTTTAAACCGACTTCTTTGCCAAAAGGCCTGGCCATATTATACAACACAAAAGGCACCTTCTTGGCCCACTATAAAACAGCAGTGGAAAGATACCATGGCGGTAGTCACAGCGACCCACCTTTTGGGAAACTAATCAGAATCCCTGTTAAAAACAGGGAAAACCCAGTATATGCTGGTGAGAAAGACTCACACTTCTATAGCACCACGTGAAAACTGAATGCTGTTGGGATCCTGACGGGAGAGATGCCCCAGTTCTTGCTTGACAAGATGAGTGAGACCACAGATCATCATCACTGGAATAGGCGTTGCTCTGCGCTACATTAGCTCACGCTCCACGGTGGCACTGCTAAACAACGTGTACCTGAGGCAACATAATTCCCTGTGCAAGTTGGTAATTTGCTAATTTCCACCCATTTTCATTTGGGAGTAATTTAAACTTCATCTGTGGTTTCACTGGGGTCAGCGATTCTCCTTGCACCGGTACAGTTACACAGGCGATCGCTTGCAAGATCGATTCACAAGACCATCAGCTTATTTCATAAAAGGCTACTGAGCAATCTTCAGAGTACTTTTAAATCTTCCTTGCTAAATACTTGCAACCTTCTTGCAAAGTCAAGTCTTGGCCATGTTGCTTTCTAGAAAAAAAGGGTTCTGAAGTGCAACATGTTGCTCCTTCATATGCGAGTACGATAAAACACCCCCAACCCCCTGCACGCACTTCTGAATCATGTCATGATTTAAGACATAGGCCCGTGACATCGTTAAGCAGTACAGTGACACTTCCAAGTTCTATTGTTCACTTACCCAAAATGGCAAGGAAACAACCTCACAAGACTACATTTTAAGAGCTTGGTGATATCCCAGGGATTGAGCCACAGGAACTCTATGGTTTTCCCATGGTAAAATGACTAAAGAAGGGCAAAGCTGAGCTTCTCAATGACCTCAGTAACTTTCAGTTACCTGAATACCTGAAAATTCAAGAGCTACTGCTCCATTCCCATGCAATGCTCAGTCTAATCAGCAACGTCCTCCTTAGACATTCAGTACCATTAATGTGGCAGCACTGTAGGGGGGCTTCAAGGTACCAACCTACTGAGACACAGGGCAGGGCTAGCTGTATTTCTCTGCCTTTCATTGAGCCTGGCTGCACTCAAAAATGCAGAAATGCACAGTTATCGTCTCTCAGTTGTTCACAAAAAACACAGGCAAGAAAGCTGAGAGGTGAACTCAGTGAAATTTTTGAATTCGTAAGCTTCAGGCCTGTGGAGTTTGGAGCTGTGGTGTGAACTCAGAAGGCTAAGAAGCAACACAAATCAAAGAGTAGGCATTTTTAGGCCTATGAAACAGTAAAAAGCTTGCTCATGACACGGATGCGTTTTCACACGGAAAACAGTTGCATACACCCGAAGGAAAGGTATGCTTGTGCAGGAAAGGTACTTACGAGCTGCTTTGATTTGTTTCTGAGTAGCCCTGTATCGTATATTTCCCAGCCCAAGGACTGCATAATGGTCTTGATTCTGAGGAGAGAAAAAAACACCCAACTCCAGTAAACACTGATAAATGCGACCTAAAAAACCACAACACATGCAGAAAAACAGTCCTCCTCCCCATCTTTTAAAAGCAAGAGGCAGAATTTTTGCCTCTCTCAGTAGTTAGAAAAAGAACATCTGTTGTCAAGGCCATCGTTACTGCATAACCAAATATGAATAAATTAAGCCAGTTACGGACATTCATGTAGCTTCATCTAAACGAACTAGATGATCTTTAAGGTCCCTTCCAACCCAAACTATTCTGTGATTCTATGAAACTGGAATAAAGCACTGAATCCTAGTAAGCCCAGTTCCTGGAAAACTGAATTGTTGTCTTTAATATTAAGAGCGCTAACGCAATTCCATGACAAGGGAGGCGGTAACAGGGAGAGGAGACACTTTCACTGCTTACAGGCTGTAAAATGAAAAGCGACAGTTCAAGTCTAACTGACCCTCATGTGCAGCTCAGTTTGCCCTCATCAAGCGGTTTTGTGAGGAAAACAAACCCAGCTGCAGTGCTAAGGGACACAAACAACTCGGATGGGAGTGGGAGGGGAGGAGGAAGGGGATCTTCAGCTGCTCGGAACAGCAGATAACTCTGACAGGATACTTCCACTGCAAATAGGTAACACTCATCTTTATCAACCGGATACCTTCCAGTCCTTCGGATCAAGGGTTTTTAACATAGGAAATTCTTCAAGCTGCAATTCTTCATCCCCTGATTCTTCAGAAAGTTCCTTCTCATCTTCAAGCTCCTGGAACGAGGCAGAAACATTTATGTTTCTCCTCTTAATAAACGCTTCAAACCATCTTCCCACAGGCTCCACTTGACAGAGTACTGATGCTATAAGCAAAAACATAAAAGCAACTTCACCTTCTGTGGTTTACTTTTTTTTTTTTTAATTAAACCCCATCAAAGCCCGCAGAAGTACTGCATCACACACGGCTGCAGACTGCCAGATCTTCTCAAACACCCCAGCCTGCTTTAAAGGCTGCGGGAGCCAGAACACGTTTATCAGACGGCCCCTTCCCTCGCTGCGTTCTCCAAACCTGAGAGGTGCTTTCCAGTCGAAGGGACGCACGTGTTCGGCGACACCGAGCATCCTGCTCGCTCGGGTAACAGCGGAGACAGCGGCGGCAGAGACCCCAGCACGGGCTGATCGCCGCGTTCCCGCTGCCCCGGGCGGCGACACC